TATTAGCCCAAGAGACAGAAAGGGCCACATAAATCAGAGACTTCATCAGCCTGAGACCAGAAGAACTAGATGGTGCCCAGCTACCACCAATGACTGCCCTGATAGGGAGTACAACAGAGAGTTCCGGATGGAGCAGGAGAAAGGTGGGGTGCAGAACTCAAATTCTAGTAAGAAGACCAGACTTCATGGCCTGACTGAGACTGGAGGAACCCCGGGAAGCATGGCCCCTGGATTCTCTATCAGCCCAGAACTAAAACAATTTCTGAGGCCAACTCTTCAGACAGAGAATGGACTGAACTGTGGGACATAAAGTAATACTTGTGAGGAGTGTGCCTCTTAGCTCAACTAGATACAAGAGACTAAATAGGCAGCTTCTGTCCGGAGGTGAGATGGGAAGGCAGAGAGGGTTAGGAGCTGGTCGAATGGACATGGGGAATTAGGGGTGGAAAGGAGGAGTGTGCTGTCACAGTATAGGGAGAGCAATTAGAGTCACATAACAATGTATATATAAATTTTTGTATGGGAAAAAATTAAAAAAAAAAGAAAATCAACTTGATGGCGCCTAACAACAACAGTAAACTGAAAGGTTGGTGGTTCAAATCTAATTAGCAGTGCTGCGAAAGAAAGGCCTGGAGATCTAGTTCCATAAGAATACTGCTCCTTCCAGTTCCCACAAAGTATCTATGAGCTTTATGATTGGTCTTTATCTTAAATTGTGTATGTGTGTGTGTGTACATATGTGTACATAGACAACACTCTCACAAAGGTCACCAATTCCAGGTCTTAAAATAATGACAGAACCATGCCCAGTCCTTAGCCTGGATCTCATCTATGCCACAACTCCTTCTCCACTGCCCTGTTACTGGTTCATCCTCTCAGATTTTCCATGTTCAGTTCTCTAGCAAACTAGTGTGAAATGCTTCCCCTTCCGACCTCAATGAGCTCTCACCCTCCCTTAATTTTCCACCCCCTCTTCCTTCTTTGCAGTCTTTACAGGTCAACAGGCAACCACCACCACCACACCTAGGCTGACAAGACACTGCAAAATCTACTTAAGAATAAAAATGTGTAAGTGTTTATATGAGAAAAAAGGCGCACAATCAGTTGAGAACCAGGAAACCAACTCTGGGCGTTACTGCTGACTGTTATCAGCTGCTTAGAAGGTACGATCCTGGGGGGGTGCCAGGTCGTAGATATACCAGATGGTCTTTGCCCGGATCATGACAGCAACCTATTTGGTACTGTACCATCTTTGCCCCGGCCTCTAACTGGAAAGTCTGTCTGGAGGGTACGTGTATGAACAAGAGACAACAGGAAGCCTGATGATTCAGTAGGATGGAACAGTGCTTGCAGCTAAAAGGAGAAAAAAGGCTCATAACGTATATTTGAAACTCAGGGGTTCCCATTTAGGAGGAGCAACAAGAATTTATTGAAGAAAAAAATTCTCTTGGCTGAGGGCAAAGATATCTTGGTTTAAATACCTAAGTTTCTCCATAAGTATTTATTTTTTACTGAATAGTATCTATATATTTTTAAAATGGTATAAAGTCTCCATAATTTAATACTTTCTCTATAAAAAAACCAAACCAAACTCATTGCCATCAAGTTGATACCAACTCACAGCAACCGTATAGGACAGAGCAGAACTGCCCCATAGGGTTTCCAAGCAGCAGATGGTGGATTCGAACTGCTGACCTTTTGGTTAGCAACTATAGCTCGCCATAGCTCTCAACCACTGAGCCACTTTCTCTAGAAATAATAGATATTTGCTGATTTCCTGTAACAAATAAGGTACTGTGTTAGGTACCATAGGAGAGGTGACTGTGACATATACTTTGGAGGAAAACGTGGTGATAGTTGCCAGGTGGACTGAAAGAATCCTAGACATTTCTCTTAAGGAGAACAAGAAACATGGACAGAAGTGTGCACGGGGGAATGGGTGGGGAAGGAGCTGGTAAAACAGTACCCTGAGGATTCTTTTCCCAGTGTCAAAAGAACGTTCTTGTTATGGGCAGTCAAGTTGAGTCTGACTCACGGTGACCCTATATGACAGAGTAGAACAGCCCCATAGGGTGTCCTAGGCTGTAATCTTTACAAGAGCAGATTATTAGGTCTTTTCTCCCTGAAGCGGTTGATGGGTTCCAACCACCAATCTTTTGGTTAGCAGTACTGGAAAATAATTATCAAAATAAACTCGTAGCACCTAGATGCATGAATGGCTGAGAAAACAATACCTATGGTTCATCTGTATCAATTAACCTCCCCTTGAGGTATCGTATTAAACACACTTCACTCATTCTGTACGCACTCATTGTACCCAGTCAAAGGGATGTGGCAGCACTGATCTCAAAGCTTAGTGAAACCCCCGTTCCCCTCCCCACCCACCACCTCAAGCTTTCCCAAGCTGTGCTGCAGGGGAAAACAGCGATTC